CTCTTGGGAGTTGGGCGGCGCCTGCGGACAGTAGAAAGGCGTAGTACATTGATAAAACATGACTCGTTTTCTCTTTCGATATTTTGACGCATTTATCGACAACGGGTCTTCACGATGTACGAGCCATTATTTCTTCCTTACGTATTTAGTGCCCTTGTACTGTCATTATTCTTCCTTGCGTGTTTGTCTTCTCATGTAGCTTCACCGAGAGGGTAGCACTCCTGCTTCGCACTCGGGAGGCCTTGGGTTCAAACCTCGGGCCGGAGATATTTTTAGAAATAGCAGGGAATTCTACCTTTCTTTAAGAGGCAAAATGATAAACTGTCGATCAGGGAACCCTCCACGATATTGTTTCGTAGGACAATGGGTTTCAGTAAGGAGAATAAGAAAATACACTTTTTTTATTGCTAGTGGGGTGGGACTATGTCCCTTGTACTGCGGCCACTTCTGGCCTATTGTACCAGCACCAGATGATAGGTGAGGGTGATTGTGGAGCAGGTGGTGGAATGAAGATCGGCAGAGGAAACCGACGTACTCGGAGAAACCCTGCCCCAGCGTCACTTTGTCCACCACAAATTCCACTTGACCAGACCCGGCATTGAACCCGGGCCGCCGCGATGGGAAGCCATCGACTAACCGCTTGATCTATGGCGCGGCCGAAAATACACGTTGATCCATTGGCAAGGAAATAATAATATTAGAAAAGAAAATGCGTATGTTCCATACAGTGTAGATGAACCAGGTCTTACAACAATCTAGAGATTCTCAAGTTTTGGCGCTGAACGAAAAGAGATGAGTGACAGTTTTGTTGAACGCGGTTCCCTCGAAACAGTGCTTTGACTAATATCTGCAAATGAAAATGGAATTTTTATTCCGATTATATTGATTTTTTCTCGAAAAAAATATTGGATCCTCAGCTCATGAAAAATTCTCTTCCTAAGATCACACCTCATGATGTACTCGTATCTAGGCTAGCATTGTTTGCGCACTTATTTCAGATAACAGAGTCCACATCAGAATCTCAAGTGTTGCCCATTTTATGGTCACTGGGGTTAACCAAGAAATCTGGACTTCTGTATTAGGTTACAGAAAATTATGTTAGTACTGTGTTTTTCAAACTACAGCCTCTGGATCAATGATTTACGAGTGCCGTCAAGAGGACTTGACGAATATGCTCTTGTGAATGAGAACCAGTTCTCGCCCTCTGAAAAACTTCTATATAAACAGCGTTGCTCTGATTGTCTTTCCTAGCGGCACAACCTGGCAAGAATGCAGCCAACAGATTTAAGGCCACTGACAACATTCGGCTGAGTCCCAACATTCCTACATCTCCAAGAGTTTAATTCTAGTATCCAAGTTATCTCCATAAGGAAAGTTCACTCATGTCTTTTAGTTATATCTCAAGGCTCATCAACTTCTGCCTCTCTTGCGTCGTCTATCTTCCTGTTTCTTGCTGACCCGGAAGCAGCTGCATGTCAGTTCTACTCCGTCGAAAGTTGGTATAAAAAATTATACTAATACAATGAAATCCGCTCCTTCAGATAGCGTTGACCAGGCCACAGCTTATGCTACTAGTCGCCGGCTTCCCACCGCGATGGCCAGGCTTCGAACCTAGATGAGATCTTATGGGATTTGTGGTGGTCAAAGTGGCGCTGGAGCGGAATTAATCCTAGCACTTCGGTTACTTCAGTTTTTTGTCCCAATATTTATTCCACTAACCGTTCCATATTAATTAATCAACCGATCCTTCGATGTTGTAGGGTCTCGATACTGACGGCGTCTTTAAATAACCGGCTTAAAGAAGAGGCATCGCGTCTGTAACAGCATGACCGATTTCTCATATTCCCATCGTGAATAAAAAACAAAGGAAAACTTCATGAAAGCTAAGAAGAAATACTTGATACACTGGATGACTCAGCTAAATTCAAAGTTCAATATTCAGAATAAGAAAGTATTACAAAATGTATCAATCTGGAGTATACAGCAAACTAAAGGCTATAAATTGTCATAGTTAAGGCGACTGGATAAAAATTAGAGAAACTGCCAAAGAAGAAACAAAGGAATAATTAAGATATAAAAAACAAATCATTTGAAATTAAAAATATAGGACAGAGATGTTATAGAAGCAGTACTTTCTTTCTTCCTGTTGGTCATTTTACTTCACTCTCAGTGACTACACTCTATAGCGTCGAATGTAGAAATGATAGAAGAACAAGGAAGGGTTTGCAAGGAAGCGATCGTGACCCAATCGAAGTAGGATATTGATAATTCCTTCGAGGGAATGAGGAAAACCAGGAAAGCCCTCAGTCACGAGTGTCGTGGCCGGAGTTCGAAACGAAAACCTCCCAAATACGAGTCCCTAGCGTTACTTCCACTCCAGTCGTTTCTATTGGCACCTGTGACGAGCAGTGTCATAAAGAGTAGTGTACGAAAAAATTAGGTCACGCATTACGTAAGAAAGCAAAAATAAAGTGCGATTATTGTTCAGGGCGCTAAACAGGAATAGTTGGGAGGGATGGAACGTAACATTACTGGGGCACAAAGGACACATTTTAAAGCCTTTAAAACACGGCGACCGAAGAGGCTGGTCTGGAAGTAACATTCTAGACTAGTATTAGGGAAGTTCCCGGTTCAAATCTCGGATGCATCACAGGCTATCACGAGTTTGTTCGTGGTTTTCCTCATTCTCTCCATTCAAGTGCCAACACAATCGATACGTTCCAGACCCTTTAGAGTTCAGCAGTGATCCTAGAATCCACTATCATCACAGTCCCGTTACTGAAAGCGTTGTTAAATAACCTAAAAAATACGAATATTTTCACAAAATTATAATATATGTATTGATTCGATTATGGAAGAAACGTGGAAAAATTATTACAAGTTTATATATATATAGACACTGTGAAGACAATGGAAACATTTTATGAAAGGACTGTGGGAGAAAGTAGCCATGGCCTAATTTGAGGTACTATCGCGGGATTCTCCAGGGGGACTGAGGAAAACTGTAAAAATTGGGTCACAATAGTCTGTGTCCTAGATACTTCCTGAATACCAGTCAGATGCATTATGAACGTAACTGTACGAATGTAAAATTTTCATTAAAATAAACTCTAAGAGAAAATTATGATCGAAACAGTTAAAATTAACATGGGACTGTGTCAAGGGTATGGATTACTTCTAGTCTTATGTAATATGTACGTAAAATTTATAAGCAATTATAGTAGGTATCATGGGATGCAGAATGGATAAACTGAAGAACTCTCCAGACGAAATACCTCCAGCAGCCAATGACGCATATACTCTGAAGACGTGCGAGGGGAAGAATGGGTTATGTGCACTCAGTATTTCTCAGTATAATGAATGTATTGACTATGACAAAAATCATTTTCATTGGAAATTTTTTCTGATAAGATGGCCAATAAATCTTTCTATAAAATTTTTCTTTCCTACTGCAGTTTGTCATTTCATTTGAATAGTGATTAACCTTCCTATGGTGGCTCCCAACTTCATAATTTCCCCATAACTTTGGTTATTAAAGTGATTTTAATTCATATTTTATCATATTTTTTGTTTACTTTCATTAGTGAGAGCCGAGAAGGCTCAATCTCTGTAGCGACTGCCTACAGGCTGAACGCCTACGGTTTGATTTCCGGCAGGTGATGTTCAACACAGAATATGAAAGACTGTAAATTCATTCAAAGGTCATTGTGCTTCATGCTTGCATATGAAGGTTAACTGGAACATACAAGTCCGTCTCCTGCTAGCTGCAGGCTGTATCTGGGTTATAAGGCGACTTATAAGCGGATAAAGGTATATAGCCTTCATTACACATGTCGGTATTAAATACAGACGTTCAGTCACTGAGTCACACTCTGCTTTTTGACGCAGGGAATCATTAATAGTATAATTAAGTGAATCTTTTGTGTTCAGTCTACTTGCTAAAGATTAACGAGGTAGCCTGATTAGCTGCGTGTCTAAAGGACTCTGCCTCATGAAGTTCATAATTTGTCTACGCCTTTAAAATCCCTTGCAATAATATATATAGTGTGATCAGTCTGATCAGACATGCGGTAGGATTTCTTTATTGGGAGAAGAGTCTGTTATAAGCCTCCGTCTTCACGAATCAACATAGAAAAAGCAATTATGTATGCCCAGATCGGGATTCCTACGGCGTGTGTTCCTGTCTTAAAATGCACGGCCAGCGACACTGGCTCATTATCAGCTCTATTAACCTTATTTAGTAACAAATGAACTCAGTTAATTGTGACGGTTTTTTTTTTTTGTGTGAACACCTAGCTAATTGTTGGCTCAAGTATCACAACGACGCAGAGATCACAGATTAGGGTCAGAGGCACGAACTGACCTTGCAGCAGCGCCTTCTCCAACGCAATTAAGTGAAAACGAACATTAGAAATCGTAAATCGTCACCATTTTATGACCCAGAAATGCATAGAGCTACCAAACAGCCACTCAGTTCTTGAATGGAGCCGAAGGTCTTCTACAGTTATGTCCTGTTGACTGCCACCATTTCGTCAAGTAAAGTGGTGCCGCTGCATAATGAGAGACTGATTAGTGTTTAGAATACAGTAATCAGATTCTTCGGCTTAAAAGTGAAGACTTAATCTTTAATGCTAATTACATAAAAGCAATATCTTTTTTATTTTTATTTTAGACAACAGTTTTTGAGAGGGAACGCACAATATCAGGCATCTTACTGCTGCTACCAAATCAGTTTGCGGTTGGGAGGGGGAGTTCTTTGCGGCGACAGCTACCAAATTATAGCGAACGGCTCTGAACCCAGAACCATCGTGAGCTGAGTCCATCTCTGTGGGGAGGAAATATAGAAATCGGAGTGGACGTCAGACCTGTACAGTGGCTTCCCTTTCCTGTTTACAACAATGCAAATAGGTAGGGCCCCATAACATAGGGTACGAACAAACATCTCGCTTTATTGGAGCTCATGTTTGAAGGTCGTACACGTCATAAGAGTGACTCTGCAGTTATCTGCTTCGCTTATATAACGGTCTGCCGCGGTCTACGGGCTTGAAAGTTTAGCGCCAGTTGTGAACCAGGATTGCAGCCATGAATGGAAAGCATTTGGGGAAAGGTAAGTGTATGAACCTGCTTTCTTTACCAGGCTTTAACACAGATGTATGATTATATATGTATTTACGCGTAGGTTGTATAACGACCAGTTAAAAGATTTCGTAGAGCGACATGAGGGATTGCCGTAGGTGGGTCTCGAAATAAATGCGGAGAAAAGTCACACCTTGACATCAGATTGCTGGCAAAATCGTAATATAAAGTTGACAAATATGTTTAATATGTAGCAGACTTAAAATAGGACTATATGAAGACAAGTCTAACAAATCAAAATAACATGCACGAGAAAATTAACGGGGATTTCATTTCGATCTAGAAACTTCTAGGTTAAGATGTTCAAAATTATAATTTTGTGTATTTCCTCTGTGTGGTTGTGAGTCTTGGCCTCTCCCTTAAGGAAAGAACGTATGAAAATATTTGGGCCACAACGGGAGATCGGAGAATGCATAATGAAGAACATCATAACTTGTACCCCACACCACATAGCTACGGTGATAAAACCAAATGAGTATGAGATGGGCGGAATATATAGCATGCATGGGAGAGATGATAAATACGTATAAAACTGTAGCTAGAAAACTCTAAGGGTGGACAGTACTTTGGAGACCTAGGCGTAGATGGATAATATTAAAAGAAATCAGCTGTGATGATGTCAACTAAATTCATGTAGAATTACTGGGTTTGGGGATTTTTTCCATCGTCCTGTGTTCTAGACAATAGAAAACAAGATGCTTTGGAAGCTGGATCATTTTCTGTCCTCAGGTGAGTGGGGAGAAGTACACCTATTCAGCTGGGTCCCTTAGGAAGAGCTGGTTAGAACTTTCTAAGGGACCGAGATCAATCACCTCCAGTGATTTGAGGTTAGCTCTTTCTAAAGGACCCAGCTGAGTAGGTGTATCGCCCCCCCCCCACTCACTTGAGGAT